GGTTGCCTAATCCATTAAGGGGCAAACCTAAACTATCATACCTTTTTCAAAGTGCTATAGACAGAGCCATACAGAGTCCAAATGGGCACCTGGATTTGTTCCTTCGCTTTCTCCTGGGGTTTTCACTGCAGACAAATCAGACTCTCCTGGGAGAGCTAATGACACAGAGTGGAAGCAGCTCACACACCCATCAGGAAACTGTCAAGCACATCAAGAGCGTGATCAGGAAGAATCAGTCTCCAGAGAGAAGCATCAATCTGTTTCACTGTCTGAATGAACTGAATGACCGTTCTCTGGTGGAGGAGATCCAGCAGTACCTGAGTTCAGGATGTCTCTCCACAGAGAAGCTATCTCCTGCTCAGTGGTTGGCTCTGGTCTTCATCTTACTGTCATCAGAAAAAGATGTGGATGTGTTTGACCTGAAGAAATACTCTGCTTCAGAGGAGGCTCTTCTGAGGCTGCTGCCAGTGGTCAAAGCCTCTAATAAGTCTCTGTAAGTTTAGAGAAAACTGGGCAGACTAATGGAAAAGGCTGTTTTTTTCTTTCTTACTTTCTTAATTACCCTTTACAGCCTTTTTCTTCTCCATTAATATGTATGTGCTTAATTGATGGTGATGTTTATTAAAGATAACATAGGCCTGCATGTTTTCCAGTCTGAGTGGATGCAACCTGTCAGAGAAAAGCGGTGAAGGTCTGGCCTCAGTCCTCAGCTCCCAGTCTTCGAGTCTGAGAGAGCTTGAGCTGACTAACAACAGCCTGCAGGACTCGGGAGTAAAGCTGCTCTCGGCTGGACTTGAAAATCCACACTGTAGACTGGAAAAACTGAGGTTAGATCTTTTTGTTTGTTTTGTTTGTGGCCCTTTTTTCTTTAATCAATTCAGTAAAAACACTGTGTATGGCAGATATTTTACTGATATATTTCATTATCAAATGTTTTTCTTGATTTTACCAGGTTGAACCAAAACAGTCTGACTGAGAAATGCTGTCAGGACTTATCATCTGTTCTCAGCACCAGCTCCTCTTGTCTGAGAGAGCTGGACTTGAGTTACAATGACCTGCAGGACTCGGGACTAAAGCTGATCTCTGCTGCACTGGACAGTCCAAGCTGTACACTAGAAACACTCAGGTCAAGCTAAACGATTTCTGCCAAGGTGGTAATAAATGCAGTATGACAGTTAGAGGAAGAGGGTGTTTACATTTACTCTGTATTTCAGGCTGATTGGCTGTAATCTATCTGAGAGAAGTCGAGATACTCTGGCTTCAGTTCTCAGCTCCTGTTCTTTGAGAGAGCTCGACCTGAGTAATAACAACCTTGAGGATTCAGGAGTGATGCTCTTTTCTCCTGGACAGGAGAGTCCACACTGTAGACTGAAAGTTCTGAGGTTAGATCACATTACAACATCTTTGTTTCATATTATGTGTTGACTATAATACTGCATGCTGTGATTCTGGTTTTTCAATTCTTTATGGTCCTAAGTTGCAGGTTTGGATGTCACAAAATGTATGTAGGGAAGTTTCTATTTTTAAAATGACTTGGATTAAACCACTGAATCTGTATCTCCATAAACACATGAAATATAATAAAGATTTCCTGTCATTTCTTTAGGTTGGTTCAAACCAGGCTCACAGAGAAATGCTGTCAAGAGTTCTCATCAGTTTTCAGCTCCAAGTCTTCTGGTTTGAAAGAGCTGGACCTGAGTAACAACAACCTGCAGGATTCAGGAGTGACACTGCTCTCAGCTGGACTCACGAGTCCACACTGCACACTCAGAACCCTCAGGTAGGATCATCAGTTTCAAGGGTAGCATGATTTTGTAACTGTTGACCTGTATAGTATGTTAAGTTTGCTTGCTTGGGTATTGTCTTTAGCTGTTTGGAATGTGTCTATTGATTGAATGCCTTTTGTTATACAATCTAAGCTTGATAGAAGTGTATACGTCTGGTTTCTATTGTGTTACTTTGATCCTGTTAAAAAGGAAGTTTTAGATTTTGGGAAATTGATACCGCTGTCATGTCTGACGCTAGCTTAGCATTACAACTGGAAATGGGGAAAGGCTAACCTAGCCCTGTCTGAAGGTAACAATGACTGCCTTTAAAGCTCACAAAAAAATCTTGTTTATTGAAGTGTAAAAACAAGTTGTGGTTAAGTCCTGGAGTGTTTCTTGGGAGCAGCATAAAGGTGACAATTTCTGTCTCCTTGTCAGGTTGAATCAGACCAACCTCACAGAGAAATGTTGCCAGGAGATCTCATCAGTTCTCAGCTCCCAGTCCTCCAGCCTCAGAGAGCTGGACCTCAGTAACAATGATTTACAAGACCCAGGAGTGGAGAGGATGTCCACTGGACTGGCATCTCCACGCTGCATGCTGGTAACTCTCAGGTCAGGATTCTGCAGTCCTTTTCTTTTTTGTTTTTGTTAATGAAATGCAGCTGCCGTATTGTTGTCACTATTTAGTCTAACTTTCTGTGCATCCACAAATCACTAACATGACTTTATAAAATGAGTTAAAATATTACCTTGTTGGTTATTAGTTTGCCAACAATAAAGCCCAAATAAATGTTTAGAAAACAGCATGTCACTGCTACAAAAATTTCTACCACCATATCTCTGATGGGGTTTCCCAATATCTCCCAACTTTTACTTTTTTTCTTGCCTTAAACTGCAGTATTCTTCACAAGGAATTATACAAAACAGGAAAATTATATCCCCACTGTTTGCTTCAGCATGTCACCTAATACACTTGGATGCAGTTCTTTATTAAAATACTGGACACTGTGTGCACTCACATACTCTTGCACTGTCCTGACTCCTGTAGTTTAGAATGATTCAAACTAGAGGTAAAGGACACTGGGCTCAGCCAAAGACAAAAATAAAAATCAGCCTAAGCCAACATCCAAGGGTTTAGCCTTCAGCATAGTCATCATTTTTCAAAACATTTGGTTAGATTTATCCTCAGCTATGTAAAAATGATGGATTGACATCCTTCAGGCTAAGTGGCTGTAAGGTATCTGAACGAAGCTGTAAAGCTCTGGCATCAGTTCTCAACACCCAGTCTGCTAGTCTGAGGGAGCTGGACCTGAGTAACAACGACCTGCAGGACTCAGGAGTGAACCTGCTCTCAGATGGACTGAGGAGTCTACACTGTCAGTTGGAAACTCTGAGGTGAGCTCATACTTTAACCCTAGTTGTAAGTGGCTATTTAAACTTTTTGTATAATCATTGTATTTGTCCTTTAATTGCTCTTAAAGGATGTAAAGGTTTTCCGTGGGTAAGATGAAATTTACCTTAATAGAGATTTATTTGAGGTGCAGAGTGCTTGTAGTGATGTACTGAAGAAGTGTTTCTGCATCCTTTTACTTTTACCTGACTAGTTGTAATGCAGTAAATATCGGCTTAACAGTTAATGTTAAAAAAAACAAAAGACTGGTAAATGTCTTTGAGCTCCTGAAATATTTGTGACCATAGCATAGTTTACTTGAAGCCTTTCTTTCTTTCCACTGACCTTCTGGAAAGCTAAAACACCAAAAATATAAACAATGTTTTCATTTTTCAGATTGAATCAAACTAGGCTTAAAGAAAAATGCTGTCAAGATGTGGCATCAGTTCTCAGCACTGAGTCATCCAGTCTGAGAGACCTGGACTTGAGTAACAATGACCTGCAGGATTCAGGAGTGAAGCTGCTCTCGGTTGGACTGAGGAATCCGCACTGTCGACTGGAAACAGTCAGGTAAACAGCCATGTTTCATTTAGTTATTCACACCTGTGCTTTTCCTGTTACAAACTAAACCATGAGTAGGGCTTATAAAGCCTTCAAGAGCACTCCCCCTGTGCTGTACCAGTGGACTAATGAAGCATCAAACAGTAAGTAGATTAACAGCAGATGCTGCGTGCATTGTGTTTGTGTGTGTGAGTAGGTTGTCAGGCTGCTTGATAACAGAGGAGGGCTGTATTTCTTTGGCCTCAGCTCTGAGGTCCAACCCCTCCCATCTGAGAGAGCTGGATCTGCGCTACAATCATTTGGGAGCATCAGGAGCGAAGCTTCTGTCAGCTGGACTGGAGGATCCACAATGGAGAATGGACACCCTCAGGTATGAGGAAGAAGAGAAAAGATGTGAGAAGGATGTTTGAGAAGGCTGATTGTGTCTAGACTGGTCCCTGTGTCTTCCTCCAGGGTGGACCACAGCGGCATTCAGTGGTTGAAACCTGGTCTGGCAAAGTGTAAGTCTGTAAACTGATCACTTAAGTTACTCATTCAGTCAAAACCTGCAGTGCTGCTTCTAGTTTTTTTTTCTCCATCAGATGCCTGTGAACTGACACTGGACCCAAACACAGCACACAAACACGTCCTCCTGTGTGAGAATGGCCGGAAAGTGATGATGTCACCAGAGAAGCATCCGTATCCTGATCACCCGGACAGGTTCGACTGGTGCTACCAGGTGCTTTGCACAGATGGTCTGGCTGGCCGCTGTTACTGGGAGGTGGACTGGGAAGGAGGGGTTGATATTGGAGTGACGTACAGAAGCCTCAGAAGGAGCGGAGCTCGTGATGGCAGCAGACTTGGATGGAATGAGAAGTCATGGAGTTTAGAGTTCAGTGAGAAGTGTTGCTATGCCTGGCACAATAACATAAGAACAGCTCTTCTCACTCCTCCCTCCTCTTTGTCCTGCAGAGTCGGAGTGTATCTGGACTGGTGTGCTGGAACTCTGTCCTTCTACAGTGTCTCCTCTGACTCATTGATCCACCTGTACACATTCTACTGTGCATTCACTGAACCTCTCTACCCTGGATTTGGGTTCTTGTCACTTGAGTCATCAGTGTCCTTGTGTTAGAGAAGGGACAGATAGTCTCCTCAAAATTGTTTTTTTTTTATTTTTTTTTTTATATGACCTGCAGGGTTTTCAGATGTTTCTCTTATGAGAGCAGCAAAATAAATTTTAAAAAAGAAGAGTTTAATTATATCAAAGTATTTTACATTGTATAAACTTTATATATTCCTATGGGCAACAACAAAGGAACATGCAGTTTAATGAACCAGTACATAACATGTACAATATTAAAATACATCATAAAAACAGCAACAATTCATTTGAAGTTCCTCTCGAGCTGTTATGGCCACTAGATGCCATTAATTCTACTTTTGTGCAATGTCCCCCAGTGTCCTGCAGACAGGGCGAGGAGCGAGCGTGCCGGCGCCACCCAACAGTTTGTAGTTTAGGTTGATCACAAGCGAGCAGAACTGACTGATGCCAACAAAGTCACAGCAAATGATGTTGATCCCACCAATCTCAGGTCCTGGCCGCTGCTCGCTCGTCCAGGTGAGCAGCAGTGAGAGAGCCTTCATAGTCATCTCCCTCATGTTCTGGAGGGGATGGAAGACGACGTAAGGAGCGTCCTCTGTCAGGTTCAGACCACTGATGTAAAAACCAGCTGGAAAACAAAGCAGGAAACCAGACAGTTAAAAAGTCAGTAAAGGGACCAGTACACTTCAACTGAAGTGATGATGGATGGTCAAACGCTTCAGAAACCCCCAAGTCCTCACATCTTTGCAAAGTCAGATTTAGGGGACATCTGACTTTTCCGTAACTTTCGGTAAACCAACATTCACACCAGCTTCATGTAGTGATGGTGAGCTGTGCAGACAGAGGTGGGAAAAAGAACCACAGTTTGAACTTCTCAGGTGTTTTTCTTTACACAACTGTGTTTTACATTTTAAGGTGTACAGCGGAACCTGTCAGAAAACGTACACATTATCCCTGTATGCAAGTGATCTTGCATCTCCCCCCTCTCTGTGATGGCTTGAGTGAAACTAGCCAAAAATCAGACTTACCTGGTCTTCCTCTGTGTTTCTGGTCCTCAAGGTAAGCGATCACCTTTTTGGGGTCTGAGCTATCGGCATACCTATAAAGGCACCATGAGGCTGGTCATTTTAAATTATTTTTTTCAAAGATGATTTTATTTGCCATTTTGCTGTTATAGGAAAACAACATTAACCAGAGTCAAAAATTTGACTTGTTTTTACTTGATCTTCAGTGACAAGAAGCCCTCAAACACATGGTGGCACTGAAGCTTCCCTGTGTATTTACCAGTATGTCATCTCAGTCCAGAGCTCAGGGTGCTGCAGCACCACCTGCTGGTTGCCATAAGAAACGACAACTTGTTGACCTCTGGCCCAGCAGGAACTCAGAGTGGGAGTGTCCTGGGCATAAAACACATAAGCACACTTAAAAATTCCATTTCAAAAGTTCAAAACTAACTTAGTTTATCTATGTTTTCTCAGACCTAAATATAATCTACAATCATATACAACAACAAAAAACAGCAAATACTTATTTTGAGGAGCTGGAACTACACATTTGACAAGTTTGCTGATAAATTACTTATCAAACTAGTTGTGGATTAATTTATTTCTGCATTGTTTTATTACCTGTGAGGAGCAAAGTTTTTCTCCAAACAGTGTGATGATATACTCCACAAGGTTGGTGTGGTCTGTGTCAGTCAGAGATTCAAAATGCGAACAGGAGATTATCACCACCTCTTTTGGATGAGAGTCCAGCCAGGTAGCTAGTTCATCTAATGCCTCCTGCAAATGGACAAATATGATTACTAAAATCTTGCTTTAGATTTTTGCATTCACTGTAATTCCTTGTACCTTGACAGTCATCTGTGTGTAGAGGCCGTGGGCGAAGAACAATTGGCTGCCTCCTGCTGACTTCCTGGCAATCCGTAGGTCCAAGAAACGAATACCAAGATCACACTGATCACTCAAGACAGACTGCTACAGACACAGGTAAGAAATATAATATAAATCTTATGAATGGAATTTTTGTAGATTGTGTTGAAGTTTAATTTTAATATGTTGTAAATTGTATGGCAGTCATCCTGTCCAGGCCTCCCTTGAAAAAGAGATCTTGTTCTCAATGAGACATCCTGGTAAAATAATGGTTAAATATGTGGCAAAATGTACATCTATCTATAAAACATATGTATATGTGGCCTCTATGAGGCCACACTGTCTCATTGGAGAGAATGTTCAGTCTGGGCTCTGCATCCCTGGATCCTAATCTGGCCCCTGAATTTCTGCATGGTCTCTTCTACCTGTGTGGTGGCCCAGCGGTAGACACAGGGTCGAGTCCAGCAGGGAACCAGCCGGTCACTCACTCTGAGGAGGCAGGACTCAGATCTCTGCACAGGGGACGAGACATCCAGGCAGAAAGACATGCTGTCGTGGCTTCCTGGAGAGAGAAAGGACTGACCGATATGGATGCAAATTATAAGCCCAAAGGTTTGTGGACACCCTTGTGCTACTTGAGTGCGACGCAGACACAGAAAACCCAGGAAATTATACATTTTTAGCAGATATTACGGAAATAAAACCGTTTATCATCAAGTTTAATATTTCATCCAAAATATGCTAGTTTAACCGACTTCGCTTATGTATGCCCGGTGTTCTCTCAGATTTAGCTACCTTGTCGAGATATACTACCTACCCAGGTAGTACCTTGTAGCAAAATCTATGGACTGACTAACCCCGCCCCAATCCATCACCCTCACCCTAACCACTTTGTGAACGGTGGGTAGCACGTCTTGATAGGTAGCAAAGTTTGACAGAACACCGGCGCTTGTTTTACCGGGAATGGCCAAGTTCCACAGCGGGACATCCAGGAGCTCGTCGGGCAGACGGGACATCCAGTCCGAGTTTTCTCCGAGCTGCAGCCGCTGTTCGTCCTCCATGTTCTTCACATGAAATGTTTTACCGCTTTACTTGTGATATTAATACGGAAGTTAACCGTGCTTCTTTTATTTATCTTCCTCTACACCGTTTGTTACAAATTCTTCCGGATACAAAACAAGCTAACGTTTCTTCCGACGATTTTCAAAATAAAACCGGAATTATCAAAATCCATGTTCATGCAATACAAAATCACTACAAAATGTCACTACAATTACACACTAATAATCTGAGGTGGAACGTAATTAAACGGGCTAAATATATCCAAGTTCTGTACCCAAGTGCAATTTTGAGGTTTCTGTACTTCAGCTTTACTAGATTTTAGAGGCAAATATTGTAGGCTTACTTTTTTACTACACATGTAGCCTAATTGGTACTTTTACAAAATCAGATTAACATGGCAAAATTGTACAGTATAATCACGAGACTCTGATTCCTATTGGGAAATTCACAAGCTACCCAGCAGTATATGAAGTAGCCTATTTCAAATTATCAGCATATAAGGTCATTAACATTATAGCCAGCTTTCACACCTGCAGCATTAAAGTGATTACCACAAAAATAGTGTGGCTGTGTATTGTCAAAAACGTCCATATTTCTCAGCTGCTCAATAATTTCTTTGTTTTCCTTCTTACTTAAAGGTTTTATTTCTTGTCCTTTTCTTTTGTCTTTTTCTACTTATTGATTTCTCCCTCTTCCATCTAACCCTCTTTGTTGTTGGTCATACTCAAAAATAACAACAAATATTTGTTGCTCCATATGGATGATGTCAACTTTCTTGGCTACATTAAGTGAAAGACAAGCTAATTTAGACCTTCTGAAGCAGGTAAAAGAGATTTAAAGGTGCTTGTTAACAAAATGGAAAGCACTGATTCTACATTGCTGCCTATTTTGGAGCTGTTTGCAACATTCCTGATTAATTTATTGCATGTGGTACTCATTTAACTTTAATGGTCTACATTGTGTACTGGTATGTAATCATAGAAGTAATTTATTGGACCATGTGATACTCAGATGTTACTATAGTGCTTTTGCAGAAAACAGAGCTCTCCAATTATGGAAAGCCAATAGAATTTTCAAAGTAAAGGTGGTAATTAAACGTGCGTTTGGATCCTGCATTTGAGAAGTTATTTGGCTGCAGTTAGTGTACTTGAATGTCTGTTATTTTTTTTCTTACAGGACAGAAGACTAAAAGAGGAGATTTGAGTCAAAATGGCTGAGCACCATGACTGTACAGAGCTTAAGGAGTCCCTGTATGGCCAAAGTACATCCTGAAGGAGGAAAACCTCCCTGCATTATGTGCTATGAGGCCCTTTTTTCCAATAAAGGTCATTGGCTGCACAAGCAAGGTAACACAGTGTCTTTTTGTCATGGAAGATTGATGACAGCAGATGTGATATTTGATGGTATTCTGAGGTTTGTGCAACTGATTTCTACCTAAACCAAACATTCTTTCTGTCCAGTGGCTCTGCAGGATGTGCCATACAAGAACCGCCACTGGCATGGCGAATGCTTCCTGTGCTTCAAGTGTAGCTGGACTCTGGTTGAACAGCTTTGTCACCAAGGATGATATGCTGATGTGCATTGAGTGCTACAGCAACGAGTACTCTGCCAAGTGTCATGTGTGCCTGAAGACCATCATGCCAGGTGACGAGGCCTGATCATACCCTAACAGAAACAAATGGTGAGGTTTTGAGCAAATACTGGAACAGAGACTAAATTGTACCGTAGATGATACATTGGTTAGCATGGTGAAGCTGGTGACTGACCACAGTTAATTTCTTCTTTTTTTATGTTGTCTATTATGTCCATATTTGAATTATTTCCACAAATATAAACCACAGATTGGATGTAAGCGGTCCATGTTTTTATAAAATTAAGAAAATCCACTGACTGTGCATACCTGTAATATGTAGTCCAATGATGGATTACAGTACATGTCATAATTAAAGTGGACACAAACTAAATAAAACAACTTTTTTCTTTGCACAAAGACATCATAATTTACAAGAAAATAAAAACATGAGTGATGAAGTTGATGATTAACATGAGAAACAATAGCAGCACATTTGTTGGTGTGAGAACTTCTGTCTCTCTTCCATCTCGTTCATCCCACTCTCACTCTTTTCTTTCTTCGTCTCTCTCTGCCCCTCCACCCACCAGGCTCTAAAAAGATGGAGTATGAGGGCAACAGTTGGCATGAGAACTGTTTTACCTGAAACCACTGCCAGCAGCCCATTGGCACCAGGAGCTTTGTCCAGAAGGATGGCAACAACTACTACATGCCCTGCTGTGAGAAGCAGTTTTCTCTGCAGTGTGTCCACTGCAAGGTAAAACCACACACTATAATTTTGTATTCACTTGTCTCGCCATTCACAAGAAGCTCTGATTGCATTTATGTTCTGTAGTCATCTCCACCTGCTATCAACTTTTATTTTTGCATATAAAGTAAATCAGAAATTCTCTCTAAGAAGCAATCAATTTTGGTTTTTAATGCTTGTGAGGTTGCAGAGAGGTCTCTAATGAGCACTTGCTTCAACCTTCTTATAATAATAAGATCAATAATCAGAGGAGAGCCAAGTTAAACTCTTGAACCTTGATCTTTTTCCTTAGATGTTCCCTGGATGGTTTTAAAGTTAAAGGCAAATGCTATGATGCTTATACAGAATGAAATATTAAACCCAAGAGGTCATATTTTTATGGCTGCACAGTTTCATTAAATGTAATAATATTCAATCTTATGCATAATTGTAAACACATTTCCTTTTAATAGAACCAAGTTTGCTTTCACTAAACATTTAGGACTGAAATTTAAAATTCACTTCTGTGCTTACTAAACCTGAACGTTTGAGTCTGGATGTCCACATCATTGCTAATGGTGCTGTTATGAATAGATGTGCAGGTGGGAGGGA